GGGAGTTATCCTAGCCTGAAAGCTGCGGCTGTACTAAGCTTTGCTGTTAATCCTTCCCACTGTTGCCAAGAACAACAACAACAAAAAAAAGTCTTAATAAAGAAATTTAGTTGGTCTTGACAGCCAACTGGAAGAGGCCTGAGGATGCCCCAGAGAAGTCCTTCAGAGAGATGGTAGAGTCTCTGAGTCCACTGTTTATGAAGAACTTGTGAAATAAAACCTCCCAAGCAGATATAAGAATTCAGAATGGGGTTCTCTTTGAGGATGAATATTTCATTGCTGGTGACATTACTTTTTCATAAGCTAAGGTTAAGTCAGAATATGCCCTTCCAGGACAAAGAACTCATTCATTGACATGTTCTCTTGTTTATGTGTCTGTTCATTTGTTCATTCATTCATTCATTCATGAAATATTTATCACATGCCTGCTATTTATCAGACTCTGTATTAGGTCCTGGGCATGTAATAGTGAGGAAGTCTCTACTTGGAAGGAATTAGTTGGAGAAAATACTGAATAATAAGATGCATAAAAAAATGTTGAACTTATTTTTCTAAATTAAATACTCTTAAGTTGATTTAATTTATAAACTCTAAAAAGAAGCCATACAAATATTAGAAAATTATAGATGTTTACTTAGTCATTCTAAATAAGGCAGTTCTTTCTGGTACCTCCCCAATTATTCCTCTAAATAATAATTGATACAAACAAGTTGATATGCTGTATATCAGAAAATAAAATTTAAAGACAGAAGAATGGACATTTTTGTTTTTGCCAAATGTATCCAAAATTCAATTTGTTTAATATAAAATCCCATACAAATACATAAGAATAAAACAAGAACTAAGAATAAGTAAGAAAATATGATAGGTGACTCACAAAAAGAGAAATATAAATGAACAAAAAAGTGTTACTTTTTATTAAAGGAATATAAATTTAAAAGTTGGTGACATACTAACTTTTACTGGTTTATCAAACTTCCAAAGATTTTCTATACAGCCATATTTAAAGTTGAGGAACTATAAAAGCCCAGCCCTTGAGAGAGCCATTTGGCAATGTACATGAAAGCCTTCTGTTGTATGTACCTTTCATACAGCCATTTACATTCAAGAAACTTACTCTAAGAAAGTGGTAAAGCTGTGCACAGTTTTAATTCATAGACCTTCATTAAGGTTCGCTTTATCATAATGAAAAATCAATGAAAATAAAACAATAAAAATTCAACTACCCTCCCCCCATCTACACCCACCTTCTGTTTAAAGCTGACCTGTTCTTCAGGGCAGTGTAAGTGTGTTTTCTCAAACAGATGTTTGCAGCTGGCACAGGGCTCCTTATTGCCCTCAACTCTCAGTTCCTTTATCTGTTTCTGTCCGATCTAGTCATATTTGATATTTAGTCAGGTATGGCCATTTTTGATAACTTCAACATTTACAAGCTGTCTTGAAAGTGCCTTTTTCCCTTACCAGTATTAATATAGCAGGTGTTCACTGATCTACTTCACTGAATGAGATTGCTTGTTTCTGGGGCCACCATACTCCACCACTAGGCTTGCACCCACAGTTGGATAAGCCCTTTGTTGAGTAACTGAATGAGGGAAGGTATGAGGAATTACTGACTGGTTGGCTGTGATCCTGGAAAAGGGGTCCTAAGTTGCCATTTAAAGTGCCCAGGAAGACTTCTCTGCAAGCAATACAATGAGTTGCGTCTTTCTGCACAGGATTGTCAGGGCATCTGCAGTCTCTCTTCCCCCATCCAACTGTTGCCTCAGTTACTTCCTCAAATACAGGCTCAGGTTCTCTCTTTTCCCCTATCTCAAACATGGCCAGAGGCCACAAATAACCACTGCCTGCAAAGAAGCACTCTGTGGTGTGGAAGGTCCTCTGTCTCAGCACAGGTCAGCTTTCCCAGGCTCTGTCTCCCAGGCTTCTGGTCTGACCCTCTTCAGTACTTCCTATTTCCCAATCACACTGTACCAGGATTTTCTCGATTAATATATGTTTATGTATATGGATATTTATATAAATTATTCATACACATAAACATATACATGGTTATATATATATACTTCTAAGTCAAAGAAAGGGACACATGATCACTGTAGAGACAGAACATCAAGCTTCAGTTAAACATTTGACTTTCTCTGTCTAGCTTGTTTCACTTAGCATAATGCCCTAAGCTCCATCCATCTTACTGGAAATGGCAGGATTTCCTATTTTCTCATGCATAAATAATTTTATATATAACATTATATATGCACAATAATATTCTGCATATGTACATGTATGTATTCTCAGATCTTTATCCATTCACCCATTGATGATTACTTGGGATCTTTCCATATTTGCACTATTGTGAATAATCCTGCAATTAATGTGGAAGTGCATGTATGCATATCTCTTTGAGATCCTGGATTGTTGGGGTTATGTGGTTGTTCTATATTAAATTTTTTGAGGAACCGTCACACTTTTTTCCATAGTGGTTGCCCCAATTGACTTTTCCACCAACAATGCTCAAGGGTTCTCGTTTCTCCACACCCTTGCCAACACTTGTTATTTCCTGTCTTTTGGATGATAGGCATTCTGACAGGTGTGAAGTGATATGGCATGGTGTCACTTACATGTGGAATCTCAAAAAAGGGAAAAGTCAAACTCATAGAAACTGAAAGTAGAAAAGTAGATGCCAGGGACCGAGGGAGTGTAAGAAATAGGGAGAGAATGGTAAAAGGGTATCTGAAGATCTAATGTAAAGCACGGTGACTATGGTTGATAACACTGTTGTATAACTGAAATTTGCTAAAAGAGCGGAACTTTAAAGTTCTCACCAAAAAAAAAAAAAAAAGTGAGGTGATGGATGTATTAACTAACTAGGGAGCGGGGGGGATCCTTTCACAGTGTACAGGAGTGGGCAAAAGTAGGTTTACAGTTGTAAGTACACAAAACAATTTATTCTTGTATTGGTATTTGTTAATGTATTTTTCATACGAACAACTATAAACCCACTTCTGCGCACCCTGCATATAAGTCAAGTCACCACGATGCACACTTCAGATATCTTAAAATTTCATCAATTGTACCTCAGTAAAGCTTGGGAGAAGAAAAGATGAAGGGAATTCAGATAGTCTTAAAAAAAATTTTTTTAAAGAAGATTGAGTGGAACATGTTGAAAAATTTTTATTGTATTTTTTTCCATTACCATTTATTTCCTCGTAATCTCTTCCACGAGAAATTTAAGGTATAGGTTAAGCCATTGAAAAAACAAGTCTTACTGGTTGGATATATTTAGTGCTCAACTATTTTTTTCACCTCTGAATCTCTAAATTAGACTTACAGCTTTTATTCTGTTAAAATTATAAACTACCTAATTCATGGGAAAACACAAATAATAATAATCATTCTTAAGCAAAATTTCTCAGCAAGTGTTTCATGCTTTTGCATTTTCCTTCTTTTGGGTTCAGTACTGGTTCTCCATTTATTAATTGCATGACCTTGGCCAATTAATCTTCTGTGCCTCATTTTTCCTGGATTAAAAAGTGGGGACCACTACCTCTAGGGTAATTATGGCAATTAAGTGAGGGAATATATAAAAATGCTGATATGGCTGCTCTTTCTGAGAGCTTTAATGATGATGGAACATTGGTCCACCTCTGTTTGGTAGCATCCTACAGACCACAGGGTAAAACGACAAGAATCCCTTTTCTCAATCATCTCATCTCATTGTTTAAATAAGGGGGTATGTACTGTGTATGAGCCTATTCCTGTTCCCCAGTAAGTATTCTTATCATTATCTTCCTGAATATATGTTTATTCTACATATTAGGCCTATCTAATGTTTCTGGTATCTAAGTCCTTGCTCTTGATTGGAATTGGGAATCTAATTAACCAGTTAAGATTCTGGGGTTATTTTTGAGAATGCCACTGAAACAGAAACATGAATTAAATCAAAGTATAACTTACTCAGATGGATTCAGAGACATTGAATTATTACAGTGCAAAGAGCTCTCATTTAGAGCAGAGGGAGCTTATAATGGGGCTTCTGGGCTGAATGTACTGGGCTGGCTAGTGTACTTACTATTAGGGAGCTAAACGGCTGAGGGGACTTTGCTCATGTTAATGTTCGAGATATTTGCAAATGGATAGCTTGTATATTTTATTTGTTCAATGAAAGCATGCTCTCATTTTAGCTGAAGAATTATAATTACTTTGTAGGTTTTTTATTTTCTTTTGTCACACACATTTCAGAATCAAAATATATGATATCAAAACTAGACCATTTATATTTTGTAAACATTAAAAAAATAAACTTATCTATCTCAAAACCTTTGTAAGATACACATCTGAAATACAAATAAATTCCTAGGGCAGTGGTTCCAAAAGTTAATTTCTGAACCAGTAGCACCTAGAGCTGTATAGAAATGCAAATTCTTAGTCCCTACCTCAGACCTATTGACTCAGAAACAGATCTCCTGACAATTCTGAAGCACACTCAAGTGTGAAAACCATTCTTTTAGGATATTAGCTACATTTTAGGAGAGGTGCTGTATGTGAAAAGCTGTTATTTTTGTTATTTATTTTTAAAGATTTTATGTATTTATTTTTAGAGAGAGGGGAAGGGAGGGAGAAAGAGAGGGAGAGAAACATCGATGTGTGAGGGAAACACTGATCAGTTGCCTCTCTCACGTGCTGCAACTGGAGACTGCGACTGGAGACCAGGGATCAGGCCCCAACCCTGGCATGTACCCTAACTGGCAGTCAAACTGGCGACCTTTTGCTTTGCATAAGGATGCTCAGACACTCAACGAACTGATCTATGCCAGTCAGGGTTTTTTGTTTATATTTCTGATCAGGAAAGGTTGGACATGCTTTGGTTAAGTGTTTTATTTAATCCAATGTTATTCAAAATTATATAAATAAAACCTCTTTTTAATATATTTAATTGCTATTAAAGATACAGTTTTGCTCACTGGTCTTTCTCTTGTGTTCTTCTTTGCATCTCCACATGGTAGACGAATTGGATTTTATGTCAATACTTTCAAAAATGTCTCTAGCCTTGAGGCCAAGTTTCATAAGGAAATTGCAGTGGTGAGTAATGATTATTTTTACTTACAGAATATAAAGTAAATGAACATTTATTCTGGAAGCAAATGAAGTGGCATAGCACTATGCAAAGAATGTACTCACTTGCATGTAGTTTTTAATAGTGTATTATTACTCTCAGTAGCATTTCCACAGGTTTTTGTTGTTGTGATCACATAGTTCTCTATGTCTTTTAAAGATTTTAGTTTGTGGGTATACGAAAATGCTTTGATGCATTTTCTGGCTGCTTTTATTTCTTTTCTGAAATTATTTTTTTCATTGTCACAGTTTCAGTTTTTTTTTTCAGTTTTTAATGTTGGAGTTTCAAATGATACTCTAAGCTGTGAAAAAATTTGTCTCCAAATGTTCAGATAATCAACAGCCCTGCTGTCAGCTGGCTTTTTCTTTGTTTAGTAGGTGGTTGCATGACTTTATCTCTAGTAGAGTCAATGTAAACAATAATTTTTGGGTTTTTGCTCTGTACTCTGGTTATTATATTTTAATTTTTTTAAGTTTATTTGTGTTTGTGGCCTTTCAGTTTTCACATGAATTCTAACTTTTCAATAAACATTCCCTTTTGGGGGGCAAAAGCCTGAGTAGGCATCAGAATGAATTGTAGCTAATAGACAAGTGGCCTCTGTCCCCTTAGCTTTGCCACAAACTGTATGAAGTAATGACGAAACTGGGTGACCAGCACGCTGACAAGGCCTTCACCATTCAAGGCGCTCCCAGGTAGGCCAAGTTCATCGGAGCCAAGTTTATGTCCATTCATCTAAACGCAATGCTTGTTGCAACTTCTGCAGTCTGTACCAGCTTATACTATTTTATTCATCCTACAAAAGTCAAAAATAAAGGAACCTTTCCTTTATTTCCATAGAACTAGAGGCAGACACCAGCCTTAGTTCTATGCTTTTACATTTACCTTCAGCCTTCAGATTTACCCTACCATGGCCTTTTCTCATTGTCCCAATAGAACTATCTTCTTCCCTGCTTTCCACAGGGCCTGAGAGCAATGGTATAAATTTTTAACATATGATTTCTAGTTGTGTACTTGTTACTTGTTTTGGAGAAGAAAGGAATTTCCCAAACTCACAACCATTAACCTGATATTTATTATTGGTGATGAGATACTTAAAGAATCCATTTTGGGAAAGGAAAGAAGTAGGTGAGACCTCATCACCCTCTTACCTCCTAACTTCACCTTGCAAGCACTGCATTGTTTTTGCTTTTATTGCACATGGTTATTTTGAGCATGCCAGTCATCACCATGGGCCCGTCACAAAGGCCCAGTGATCTGTAAGTGAAATGTCTGCATCACCAGGGTCATTTGGATTTATACCAGCTTCCTCCTGTGATTTTGGAATCTCTCTTATTCCACCCCTCTCAGGTATTATACATTCAAAGAATGCAGGCAAGTGAGTCTTGTGCTGGAAGTCCAAAGACTGAGCTTTCAGTTTTGTGACTCTATGTGTGGTTAACATGCATTGACTTTCTTAAGTCCAAGAGCCTCTCTGGTTGAAGACTTCATTTTTTTTAACCAGGATGGGGAAAAAAGATGCTATTGGACTAAACGGCTTTAAAATAACAGACAGGATTGGAGGGTGGAGGGATTAAGAAAAAGGACAAAAGATTCATGGACCTGGAAAACTGTGGTGATTGTAGGGTAGGGAGGGATGGGTAGAGTTGAAAGGGCGTATAAGGGAGATGAATGGTAATGGAAAATAAAAATAACTAAAAATAAAGTAATAGGCAGCTGTGACATTCTCCTTTTGCAATTTTAACATTGATATATACTCATACACATTTATAAATATATGCATACTCCTACATATCCACCACTGTCTCTTTGTCAGTGTTTGCACCTCTCTGGAGGTAGCTAATATTCTTATTTGTTGCTCTTTGGATTAGCTGTATTCATAGTCTCTGCTATGGCTGATGTACTAAGTGGGTGTAAAGTGTGTCTCTCCTTCTAAGGGAAAGAATATTGCCTAAAATAATACATGAAACGGGTAGAGCTACTGTTTCTAACACAGCTAGGAATAAAGTAAGAATTGTAATATCAAAATAACATTTAGGTATTTTTAGAAATAAAATAGATAAAAAATAAATAACGTTGCTCCATATGGAGAGAGGAAATGGACAAAGGCATCTGAAAATTTCAAAGTTGCTACATCAGATAAAATGGAGAGAGTGGGGCCACAGTAATTTAACAAGCGTTGCTTTCATTTTTTTCAACATTCCTGTGCAAAATGAGGTGAGTGAGCTCAGCAGGATCTATTTCTATTAAGGATAGATTGGGGCTGTGCTTCCTGACAGAGGCCATGATTGCTGGCAAATAGCGCGTCATGTGGTGTGTCTGTGTTGTCTCTATAGAACCCATTCCCTTGTAGGCCATGCTGCTGTGTACATTTTTATTTTGGGATGCAGGTCCTGTTCCCTCAATCTGTAGACTTTTGAAATTCTGAGAGAGCAGGGTGTGTCCCAAGTGCCTTCTTAGTCATTAACTTTGGGCTGTTTACAAGCACCTGGCCTGGTGCCAGGTATGTGGTGGGTTGTTAGTAAATATTTCTGATTCTGGTACATCATATAATTTGCACATTTCAAGGTGCCCGAATTGAGTCATTGTTCTTAAAGGTGTGGCAGCAGAAACAGTTAATGAATTAATTTCCAAATGTTATGAGAAAGCATTCCTACAAAATCTTAATTAACACTATCCTAAGGATGCCTGTTAACATAAAATTGATCACTTTCAATGTAGGTTTTTCTATAGATCATGACATAGCAACATTTCCTTGTAAATCAAAAGTGGAATTCAGTTAATTCAGCTTATATTTGAAAGATTATTGCAAAGCCTGTTTGGCACAGTGGAAAGAACAAGGTCTGCATTAGTAAGGCCTGAATTCAGATCCAGTAAATTGCCAAGTGACTTTAGAGATTTTTAACCCCTCTGCATGGGTATTGTGGTGATTAGAGATAATCTATGAACCAGGGTCTGGCACACAGTTAATAACCAGGGCTCAGAATTTCTCTAGGATGGAGGACCCCTGATAAATACTGCTCCTTAGAAGGCCCCTTGCTTACTTCTCGTGTGTTCACCTAGTGATTCGGGTCCTCTCCGCATCGCAAAGACACCATCACCGCCCGAGGAGCCTTCACCCATACCAAGCCCGACAGCTAGTCCCAATCATACACTGGCGCCTGCGTCTCCCGCACCAGCACGGCCTCGGTCACCTTCGCAGGTAGGAAGAGATCTAATATGCTGGGATGACCGCAAGAGCTTGTGGTGTGATGACCCCACTTGATGTAGTCCTGAGACACAGGGGCATTGAGAGGAGTTTATGTCTGGTTGGGGAGACTTTGAGGTATGAAGCTTTAGGCATTATGGTTGTCACTAAGGAATCAACTCATTTTCCTTATTTGGACCTTTTATTTTCTTGCACACCCTATACCTGAGTGTGTTATCTCGGCTTCCTTGGGCTTCCCTATTCTCCTATACCACCTTTTGCTCACAGAATCCTTTCCTTCAAGGCTTCTGTTAATCCTACCTTCTCCATGAAACCTCCCTCCTGTAGCGCTTTAGTAAGGTTCGTGGCAAGTACAGCCACAAAAAGCTGTTTTGTGAATATGCCATTTTATATATATATTTTTTAATCAACTACCATATATTGTACATGAACAGACATTCAACAAAAGTGCAGAAACAAATGATTGAAAGAAATAGTAAAGGCCAGGGAAAGGTAAATATAGAGAAAAATTGCCACCCATTTCTTCCCTACTTTGGGTGAATATCAAATTTCTATAGGAAAACTTGAAGTGTCCAGTTCAGTTAAAGCTTTCATGTGTTTGACAGAAACTAAGGAAGGAAATTCATAGGAAGACACATGTAGCAAATGTATGCTGCATGTAGACTCACTGATTGCAGTAAAACACTTGCTTGATTTTAATTTATTGCTGAAGTGAGAAATCATTTTCAGTTTGCTTCAGAGAATGCAGTACCTTAGTTTAACATTAGAGTCACCGGCATCTGGCCCCACAGCCCTCAGTGCAGCTCTTGTGTTAAGGTGAATGGAACCTCAAAACCTGAATTTTTCTTATTGGACCACTGCCTGTCAGTGCTCAAAGAGCCACCCAAGCAGATGGCATTCTTTACCTTAATCGGGTGAGACTGTTGCATGTCTTCCACGTCATTTTTGGCTGAATTAACTTTTTGTGTTTAATGCTTTGTAGACGAGGAAGGGGCCTCCTATACCACCTCTGCCTAAAGTCACCCCGACAAAGGAACTGCAGCAGGAAAATATCATTAGTTTCTTTGAGGACAACTTTGTCCCAGAAATCAGTGTGACAACACCTTCCCAGGTGAGTGCCTAGTTCAGCAGTGGGATGTCTATAAAGTACCACGGAAGAGGGACTCTCAGGGCTCAGCTCAAAAGAAAGCAGCTGCTAGAGCCAGCAATATGATTTCAGTTGCCATTAGGGTTTGTTCGGTATGTCTAAAGCATTTTCAAATGGGAGCTGTACATATTTGAAAATACTCATATTATTTTTGATTACTAAGATTAATAAGTAGCACATACTTATTGTAGGAAATGGGAAAATACTAAAAGGTAAAAAATGAATACTTTTAATAATTATTTAAATCATACAACTCTGACAGTCACAAATATGTTTTGGTTTATTTTCTTTTGGTCTTTTTATTTCCTAGTTATATATTGATTTTACCCCACAAAATTCAGATCGTATTGTTATGTACTCCTGACTTTTCTTATTAATCTCATGAGCATTTTTTTCATGTCATAATATTATTTTTTCAAAATAAAATGTTTAACCAGAGTATTCTATCAGATGGATGTAGCAACCCCAACTGCGTCCACAGGTTGCTTCCAATGTTTCGATGATTTCACTGGCACTTTGATGAACATCAATATAAATGAATTCATGTTTGCACCTTCTATTACTTCTTTTATATTACTTCCTAGTAAAGAATAGGGAAATGAAATTAAAGAGGTGAATATTTTTAAGTCTTTTGCCCTGCCTCAGGTATAAATGTATCCATGCACATGATTTGGCAAATGGAAACATAATGTTCCACTTGCTTTCAAAGACAACTGGATGCAGGTGTTCTACCTCTAGTTACCCTTGGTGGACTATAGCCCTCTCCCTGTGAGCAGCTTAATTGCATTGAGAATAGCTTTGACTTCCAGAGGAATGTCATTGAAGCCAACTTTTAAAGAGTGAAAGTCCCCAGTCATGCCAATATGATTTATCCCAGTGTTCTCAGGATCAGAAATACTAGTTGCATTTCCTAAGTGGTGTGAATGCCATACTTTAATTACTGAACACATCAACAACACCACTGTGTACACATCGCAATTACAATCATATTCTGTTGACAATAATAGAATAATATAGTGATATCAGGGGCTTCAGAAAATAACAACTCAGAAGCAGTGCAGTGTCAAATTATAATTTATCATCCCTTTAAAGGCCGTTTATCAACAGATACAATGCTTTTAGCCAATTGTCTTCCCCCTTCCGTTGTTTATATGAGATGCTGAATGTGGTAAGCTAACTAGGGCTCAAAATAATATTAGCAGCTCCTTTGAAGAGGGGGAATTGCATGCTCATTAGTGCATGGACAAATTATGCTTGTGGCTACACAGATGCTGCCGGGAATAGCTGTCTTGAACCAAACGGTCTTGCTCAACATCCACCTGGCACCAAACTTGAGGAGTTTTCATTTCCAAGTTGTGCTATCCCTTTGAATTTGCTAACAGCTCAGCTTCGTTCTCTTTTTAGCTATATCAGTTTTCAATTCAGGGTGTTTTAGGGTGATAGTGTCCTTACTCTCAAGTTCCTTCTGCCTGGACCCTCTAAGAACATCCTCTGAATTCCATTACAAATAGAGAATGTGGTCACCTAAAAACTATGTGTGCCAGCTGAGGATGTCTCCATTTAGCAGTTAAGGCAACTGAAGTAGAGAAAACGTGACACATAGACCAGTTCTGAAATAAAGATGGGGTTCAAGAATGTTCTTTCTTTTAAAATGTTTTCATTTGCAGTTTGCTGGCTCATAGGTAAGGGTCCTTTGTGGTGAGGGGAAAAAAAAGAGTCAAAGCACTTTTTAAAATTACAAATGCCAGAAGAGGCCTCTAAGTACTTATATGAGCATTGGCTTTTGCTGGTATTGTTGAGAGAGTGTGATGGGAAAAGTCAAGAGTTCGGGGAGTGGGAGAGGAAACACCTCTCAAAACAGAACCATCTCCAGCTCTGCTACTGCGATGAGACAGCTGGTAGAGTGCTGGCTCCAGCGTGGCTAATCTTTACACAGACGGCAAAGTTGTTAAGAAGGGAGGGACAAGCACCTCCCTCCTAGTACCTTTATAACTTCTTGGCTGTGTGTCACGTCCATCAGTCTGCCAGGTGATTTTGCAAAAACAACCTACCAGAAACACTGTGGGGGTGCATACTGGGGGCTCATCTTCATTTATATAGTTTTATCTTAATATGGGGAGGAGGCAGAAAGGAGTTTCTGTCATTTTTTTCCAAATCTGAGAAACAACATGGTTCTAGCAGGTGGACCACAGTGTACAACTTGAAGCATTCCATGGCCTCAACAGCTGTTAGTCTCACGTCATGATATCAAGAGAGGGAGTGAAGCAAGAACTTATATTTTAGTCTACTTTGGAGCTTTTGGAGTGATATAATCTAGCTTTATTTTAAAGTTTATAGATGCTGCCTTTTTGTGAAGCATCCTAACAGTTCCCTTAGTTGCTTGTATCTCTGTGATATAGATATAGTCATTTTGTGTTACTTCAGCCCTATTGGGTCCTCTCCAGCAGTTTGATTCAGCAGATCTGGGTTGGGGGCCAAGAATATGCTTTTCTAACGAGTTCTCAGGTGATGCTGATGTTGCTGGTCTTGCGATCACATGTGAGAAGGACTATTTTACAACATCAGGATTCCACATGATACAAATATGTGGCCATGAACAAAGTACCACATCGAATTAACAGATTTCTTCCAGGGAAATTCAGCTGAGTCTAGTGTATGTCATGAATGACCACTTATAATTGCTCTATTTAAATATAATGTGACTTTATATGTTGTATATTTAGGGCTGTTGGACTTATACACATGTATAAATATGATTATGATACTAGATATGTTTATCAGATTATACGTCAAGCTACATATGATAAGTGAATGGTTTGTCTCATATGAATGATATTTTTAGACATGCACAGATAAATGATTAAAAAATAAATAGAAATTTCAGGATAAAATGAGATGCCAGCTGCCAAGGAGCAGACTGTTGAAAGCTAGAAAGCTGAGATGTACTGAAAGGTTTTCTTCCAGGTACATATGTTATAATAATATAGAGTGATCTATTTACATTTATTTAATATTTTAAAATCTTTTTTGTTGTTCAAATACATTGTCTCCATTTTCCTGCCACCACTTTCCCCTGCCCCACCCTCAATCCTTCCCCACTTTGGCTTTGTCCATAGGTCCTTTATATGTGTTCCTTGACTTGACCCTTTCCCTTCTTTTCCTCATTACCTTCCTCCCTCTTTCCCTCTCGTTACTGTCAGTTTGTTTTTTCTTTCAGTGTTGCTGACTATATTTTTCTTGCTTGTTAGTTTTGTGAATTAGGTTCCACTTGTAGGTGAGATCATATGGTATTTGTCTTTCGCCCCCTGGCTTATTTTGCTTAGTATAATGCTCTCCAGTTCCATCCATGCTGTCACAAAGGGTAGTAGCTCTTTCTTTCTTCTGCGTGGTATTCCAATGTGCAGATGTACCATCGTTTTTTGAACCATTCATTTATTGATGGGCATTTAGGTTGCTTCCAGCATTTGGCTATTGTAAATTGTGCTGCTATGAACATTGGGATGCATAGGTTCTTTTGAATTGGTGTTTTGGGATTCTTAGGGTATAATCCGAGCAGTGGAATCACTGGGTCAAAAGGCAGTTCCATTTTTAGCTTTTTGAGGAAATTCCACACTGTTTTCCACAGTGGCTGCACCAGTCTGCATTCTTACCAACAGTGTACTAGTGTTCCCTTTTCTCCATAACCTCGCCAACACTTGCTGTTTGTTGATTTGTTTATGATGGCCATTCTGACCAGTGTGAAGTGGTATCTCACTGTGGTTTTAATATGCATTTCTCTGATGGCTAGTGATGCTGAGCATCCTTTCATGTCTCTGGGCCCTGTGAATGTCCTCCTTGGAGAAGTGTCTGTTCAGGTCCTTTGCCCATTTTTTATTAGATTGTTTGTCTTCCTGGAGTGGAGTCTTGTGAGTTCTTTATATATTTTGGAGCTCAAACCCTTGTCTAAGATATCATTGGCAAATATGTTTTCCCATACAGTTCATTACCTTTTCATTTTGCTGATGTTTTCTTTAGCTGTGCAGAAGCTTTTGGATTTGATGTAGTCGCATTTGTTTATTCTTTCCTTTATAGATCTTGCCCTAGCAGATTTATCAGTGAAAATATTGCTGCATGGCATATCTGAAATTTCACTGCCTATGTTTTCCTCTAGGACTTTTATGGTGTCACAACTTACAGTTAAGTCTTCTATCCATCTTGAGTTTATTTTTGTATATGGTGTAAGTCGATGGTTGAGTTTCATTTTTTTTTGCATGTAGTTGTCCAGATCTCCCAACACCATTTGTTGAAGAGACTATTTTTACTCCATTTTATGTTCCTGCCCCCTTTGTCAAACATTATTTGGCCATAGAGACATGGGTTTATTTCTGAGCTCTCTATTCTGTTCCATTGATCTGTGTGTCTGTTCTTAAGCTAGTACCAGGCTGTTTTGATTACAGTGGCCTTGTAATATAGTTTGATATCAGGTATTATGATCTCTCCTGCTTTGTTCTTCTTTCTCAAAATTGCTGAGGGTATTCAGGGTCATTTATGGTTGACTCTTCCTTACAGTTAACTCATTTAGTTCACTAATAGACATACAGATATAGCAAATATGTAATGCTTAATAAGCAGTGATCGGTATAATTAAGAGTATCACAAACTCTGCCAAGTCTTGGAAGCAACCTAAATGCCCATCAGTAGATGATTGGATCAAAAAATTATGGTACATATACACAATGGAATACTACGCAGCAGAAAGAAAAAAGAAGTACTAAACTTCGCAACAGCATGGATGGAACTGGAGAGCATCATGCTAAGCGAAATAAGCCAGGGGGCGAAAGACAAATACCATATGATCTCACCTATAAGCGGAACCTAACCAACAATGCAAAGAAGCAAGGCAAATATGACCAGCAACACTGAAAGGAAAAGAAATCAACAGAGACAAGAGGGAAGGGGGGGCAGGGAAAGGGAAGGGAAGGGGA